TGCAATTACGCTCCGCCCCTCGGCCTGACAACGAATGAAAAATTCATCATGATTGAGATCGAGACGGATGGGTGGGGCTTCTCTTTTGGTTTTCCTTTCTTTTTTAATTAATACATTTAGTTTTATTTGTATAACACGATTACTTAAGAACATATTTCACATGGTAATTTCTCGTAAAAAAATAAGGATTTTACGATTAAGTTGCACCCCTCGGCTTACGACGAATAAAAAAAATCATCAAAACTGAGACAGAGTGGGCGGGCGGGGCCTAAATTTTGCCGTCTTATTACAACATGGTACATTTTTGCAAGGAAGTATGGATTTTGCAATTAAAGGGCGGAGTCTAAATGCACAATTGACATTTCCTGACACAAATCTTGAAAAGAAGTCTACACATATTAAAACAAAAAAGGCAAAATGTAAGCCCGCACACCCGTCCTGTCTCAATTGTGATGATTTTTTTTTATTCGCCGTGAACCAAAGGGGCGGAGCTTAACTGCAAAATACTTATTTCTTTACAAGAAATTAAAAACATGTTTGTGAGTATTGTGTTCTTTAAAGAATACTATGTATATTAAGAAAAAAAAAAAACAAAATATAAATCCCGCCCAGCCACCCTATCTCAATTGCAATGATTTTTTTTATTCTTGGAAACCTAAAACACGTTTAAAATGGCAAATTTTTGTAAGGAAATATGAATTTTGCAATTGGCTCCGCCCCTCGATCTGACAACGAATGAAAAATTCATCACAATTGAGCTTAATCTTGGCTTTAATTTTTTTTAATACACTTAGTACTCTTTGAATAATACGATACTCAAAAACATGTCTTACGTGGTAATTTCTTTTAAAGAAATAAATATTTTGCAGTTAAGCTCCACCCTCTTGGTTAACGGCGCATAAAAAAAATCATTACAACTGAGATAGGGTAGGTGGGCGGGGCTTATATTTTGTCTTTTTTCTTAATACACATGGTCGTCTTTCCAGAACATGAAACTTAAAACATGTTTAAAATGGTAAATTCTTGTAGACAAATATGGATTTTGCAATTAAGCCCCGCCCGTCGATCTGACAACGAATGAAAAATTCATCACAAGTGAGAATTGAAAACGGGGCGGGTATGGGTGGGGCCTAATCTTTGGCAATTTTTTTTTGTTAATATACATAGTATTCTTTGAACAACACGATACTCAAAAACATGTTTTCAATTTCGCGTGGAGAAATGAGGATTTTGCAGTTAAGGTCCGCCCCCTTGGCTCACGACGAATAAAAAACATCATTAGAATTGAGATAGGGCGGGTGGGCGGGGCTTATGTTTTGCCTTTCTTTTTCTTTATATAGATATTCATCTTTTTACAAGAAACTTAGCACATGGTTAAAATGGTACATTTTTGCAAGGAAATATGGATTTTGCATTTATTGGGCGGAGCCTAGTTGCAAAGTCGAAATTTCTTTTTACAAATTTTCCATTTTAAATATGTTTTAAATTTCATGTCGTGAAAAGAAGTTCACACATATTAAAACAAAAAGGCAAAATGTCAGCCCGCCCACCCACCCTGTCTCTATTGCAATGATTTTTTTTATTCGCCGAGAACCAAGAGGGCGGAGCTTAACTGCAAAATACTTATTTCTTTACAAGAAATTAAAAACATGTTTGTGAGTATTGTGTTCTTGAAAGAATACTATGTCTATAAAGAAAAAAATATATATATATAAAAAGACTTTTTATTCTTAAAAACCTAAAACACGTTTAAAATGGCAAATTTTTGTAAGGAAATATGAATTTTGCAATTGGCTCCGCCCCTCGGTCTGACAACGAATGAAAAATTCATCACAATTGAACTTGCGATGGATATGGGTGGGGCTTAATGTTTGGCTTTAATTTTTTCTTAATACACTTATTATTTTTTGAATAATACGATACCCAAAAACATGTCTAACGTGGTAATTTCTTTGTAAAAAAATAAGTATTTTGCAGTTAAGCTCCGCCCTCTTGGTTAATGGCGAATAAAAAAATCATTACAATTGGGATAGTGTGGGTGGGCGGGTCTTATATTTTGCCTTTTTTCTTAATATACATGGTCGTCTTTCCAGAACAAGAAACTTAAAACATGTTTAGAATGGTAAATTCTTGTAAACAAATATGGATCTTGCAATTACGTCCCGCCCCTCTATCTGACAACGAATGAAAAATTCATCACAAGTGAGAATTGAGATCGGGGTGGGTATGGGTGGGGCCTAATCTTTGGCTTTTTTTTTTTTGTTACTATACATAGTATTCTTTAAACAACACGATACTCAAAAACATGTTTTAAATTTCTCGTGGAGAAATGAGGATTTTGCAGTTAAGGTCCGCCCCCTTGGCTCACGACGAATCAAAAATATCATCAGAATTGAGATAGGGCGGGTGGGCGGGGCTTATATTTTGCTTTTTTTTTTTCTTTATATAGATAGCCACCTTTTCATAACTAGAAACTTAGAGCATCGTTAAAATGGTACATTTTTGAAAGGAATCCATATTTCCTTGGGAATTATGGGGCGGAGCCTAATAGCAAAATCGATATTTCCTTATACAAATTTTCCATTGCATGTTTTAAGTTTCAAGTTGTGAAAAGAAGTCTACATATATTGAAACAAAAAGACAACATGTAAGCCCACCCACCCACCCTATCGCGTTTGTAATGATTTTTTTTATTCGCCGTGAACCAAGGGGCGGAGCTTAACTGCAAAATACTTATTTCTTTACAAGAAATTAAAAACACGTATTTGCGTATACTGATACTTTTTTCTTAATATTCATAGTATTCAAAGAATACTATGAATATTAAGAAAAAAAGGCAAAATATAAGCTCCGCCCACCCACCCCATCTCAATTGTGATGATTTTTTTTTATTCTTAGAAACCTAAAACACGTTTAAAACGGTAATTTTTTGTAAGGAAATTTTAATTTTGCAATTAGACTCCTCCCCTCGGTCTGATAACAAATGAAAAATTCATCACAATTGAGCTTGCAATGGATATGGGTGGGGTTTAATCTTTGGCTTTAATTTTTTCTTAATATACATAGTATTCTTTGAACAACTCAAAAACATGTTTTTAATTTCTTGTAGAGAAATAAGTATTTGCAGTTAAGCTCCGCCCACTTGGTTCACGGCGAATAAAAAAAATCATTACAATTGAGATAGGGTGGGTGGGCGGGGCATATATTTTGCTTTTTTTCTTAATATACGTTGTCGTCTTTTCAGAACATCACAGTTAAAACATGTTTAAAATGGTAAAATTGGCTCATGACGAATAAAAAAAAATCATCACAATTGAGACGGGGTGGGTGGGCGGGGCATATTTTGCTATTTTTTTTCTTAACTGTGTAGACTTATTTCGACAACAAAAAACATAAAATATGACAATTTCCAGCTCTAAAAGCAACGTCAGCGGGAACAGCAACTGGAACGATGTTGAATCTAGGAATATACATTGTTTTGTGTTGGCAATTCAGAATTATTAACAGCTTGGTGTCATAAACGTCAATTGTTGCCACCCTATTCGTGCTTGTACCTATAACGGGAAGGTTACTTTATTTCAGCTCTAAATAAACGTTACATATTTATTAAGACTTTCATTTTAATAACCTATCAATTAGAATCCAATTCTGTCAAATCCACCCAACTTTCGCTCGCTGTCATTCAACTGAAAAGTGATAATCAGATACGTTGCGACGTTGCCAATGACTCCAAAAATCACGGACTTGTCGAGTTTGAAAAGCCCTCTAGCTGTGAACTTCGGCTGAAAATGTTTAGCATGACTTATGAGTTTGGCCAAAGCTCTGGACTCTTTCGACGATTCACAGAACTTTTCCTGAAGCTCGTACAACAAATCGACGAAAGTTTGGGCTTCCTGGACCGTCGAATTGATCGAAATGATTATAGTCAAAAAATTGTACTAAAAACGCAGAATTAACTACAGTAGTTCGTTCTAAATTTACACTTACAACCACAATAAGCAACAGATCGATGATATAAATCATACCATAGACGTACAAATCGCCATAGAGTGCACTAGCAGCACTGTCAAAACTGACGAATGCGAAAATCGTTTCGAAGCCACACCGCACTATTATTATTATTATTTGATAGCCGAATATCTTGTTGAAGGTGTGGACGATTTCGCTCATGATTCGGTACTCTTCGGAGATGTTACTTAACCCGAGCACGAATTTCGGCAATTTATAGGCCATCACGAGTTTCTTGTTTAAGTCTCGATAGCGACTTCTGAAACTCTCAACCAAGCCGGTGATCAAAAGAACCACCAAAAATTCATAATACAAGTAAATCACGGTAGCTCCACAGAATTTTAATAAATTCGGTTGAGCGACTTTGAACCAAAAAAAAATTTGGTAGGTCAACAGAATCGCAAAAAGTGTCTGTTTAGCTATAACCTGACAGTAGAAAGTTTTAATCGTGTGTTCTTTTTTCCCTTTATTTTGTAGCTTCACGTCGATGTATTTTAGTTTGAGGAACAGTCTTTTCCAGTCGTCCGCTTCCAAAAACGCCGACTTTATAATAGTGAATGTGTTCAATATTAGCAAATTTGCGTGTGTGACGGTTTGGATGAACCTTTGGGCGTGGAGAACGTTCAGAGTGACACTGGTGATCACCACGTTGTTTAGCACGCAGTACGCAATCCATAGCACGTTTAAACTTATTAAAAAACACCCATACAGTTGTGCCAGTCGTGGTTTATACATGGAATTTTCGCCAATATCGTACCACGGTGTGATAAGAAAAGCGCCCAAAAATACGACAAATGGGCGCAAACAACGAATATCTTTTATACAGAGCTTGAAAGTCATGTTGATTGGAATCGTCGTTTTTAATTAACTAAATAAAAACTGTATTTGTGTGACTGATCAATAGTAATAACGGAAATGGGGTCATCAAACATTTAATTTAGTGTTGTTGATTTTGTTTCGGTATTTTCGTTTTCGTTACCCTAATCACTTACCGAAAAATATTTGACAACGTAGAGCACCCAGGGCTCGGCACACGCTATATACTCCTCCACGTCCTTCAACGAGGCGATGTGCCGCCACGCGATGTTCAAAATTTGTCTCCTGTGTTCGAAGGGTGGCGGCGCCACACTCACACACAGCCCCAGAGTCCTCAACAACGAATGCAGAGGAATCCCCTGATCTAGACAATGCTCGATCATTTCCAGGAACTGGAGGGTGCGAATTGAGATAAGAGTGGGCTTAAAAGCTGACATGATCGTGTTGAGAATTAACGAACTGCAACGACACCACTTTATTATTATTATTATTATTATTATTACTATTACTATTATTAACCTATTGCCGTGGACCCTACACCTCTCGAGTAGATCATCCAACAAAAAATCCGACGAATCCAAGGTCACCGTTTGTAGCATGTAGTCTAAAGCAGGGGTGAACAAAGACATATACACCGACAGCGACATCTTTTGTTGGGTTAGTTCACCCTTAACGCTACGACTGAACAACTAAAAGTCCGCTGTGAGTTTAAATCGTGATTTTTGGTGGACGTACATGTTGGTAGCTTTGCAAAAACCTGTGGAAGTTTTGTAGGAGATATTGTTTGTTTTTTATGCGGTTGGACAGACTGCTGCCGACTCGACAGAGGTAACAGCGGGCATAGACGGCCACTAGGGGGTTGCCTATTCCGGAGATCATGTGGGTCAAGCGTCTCAAGGCATCCTGGCACTCACTACAAACCAGTGACATACAAAAAATAGATGACACGTTGACACACCTCAATGACAGAAAGTAGTACGATTTCATCAGCGCCATCTCTACGTATAATCGCGGAACCAATTCTCGAATGGAAGCGATTTTGTAGAACCAATTCAAACAAGTCTCTTTCGCCGAATCTGAGACCATGTCGGGGGTGAAATCCTCCGGTAGTTTTGCAAGCTTCGAACCTAACCTAGAATTTTTGTCAGTTTTAAACAAACATTGCGCACTTGTCTCACTTGTGAGAATCCGTCTTTGTGCTCAGTCTGTTGTAGACTAACTGTCCAAAAACGTCCAAAATGTCAGTAATAAGCACGAATTTGCTTGGATAGAACCTCAACACGCTCGTGTCTGCCAATAATTTAGCGCACTGTATCGCGATTTTTAAAGACTTGACCCTCTGCTCAGAATTCCACGCTGACACTAACTCCCTATTGAGTTGCTCAATCCGGTTTACATACTCAGTCTGAGACAAGTCTAACTTAGTCTGAGAACCCTCATCAATACAATCCAACTGCTCTAGTCTGTGTTGGATTTTATCGACAGCGGTACTTTGAGCCTTAACAACAACTACAACAACCCCATTATCATTTTAAACCCCAAACAAACCACAAACCTTTCTCTCCATCTGACAAAAAACTCGTCACAATTGATATTTTTTCCGACGTCGTATATTTCGACAAAATCGCCGCTTTTTTCGCCCCCCACGAGTCCACTTCGACTCTCTGATCCGACTTTTTGTCAGAATTTGATCGACTATCAGTCTACAAAAACAAATCATTGAAGAAAAAATTGCTTAGTCCAGACACAAACCTCCTCTGCTGCTAGTTTCGATAACGGGTCCATTTCCTCAATTGCGAACGCCGTCAAAGGGTCCACCCCTTCCAGAGCCGTGCTTAGGGGTTCAAGGAGAGCCGACGGGGACGACACTGGGGTGGTTCTTCCAGTGCTGGGTTGCGACCCCAAGATGCGTCGAGGGATTCGCTCAGTCACCTAAACCGCTGTGTATTAAATAAACAAGGGGGGCTAAACTCACGGTTGTGGTTTTCAGGGGGTGGTCGCTGGTTTTAGTTCCCACTAGTTCTTTGGTTTTTGCCGAAAGGGTGTCGTTGGTGGAGGTTTTCCTGAAATGGGGTGATGTAAAGAGGGCGGAGTTATGACGAGGTTTACCATTCGATGTTGTAAGCGTTCGACATTTTAAAGCTGGTTTAAACCCCTTGGAAGGGTGATTCGGTTTGTTTTTGTTTATTGCACAGTGGATGACAGGTGGTTAACCTCAAATTGTGGTTTGCGATATTGAGAAAGAGATGGAGGATGGTGTTGTGGTGGGTAACCGACAAAGAGGGGAGATTTGGAGGTTGCACCCACTGATAATGAGTACCAACACAACGAGTGAATAAAGTTCTAATTATGAATGAATTTTGCTTAAAAAAAAATGTATCTTTGTATTTATGATAAATATAGCATTATCAGGAAAGGTACAAGTTTAGGTGTTTATTTTTTAATGAATTTAGTTAGAGGCCATTTGATAGTGTTATCAGTTTCAGTTTGAACTGAGAAATTGTTGGCTAATTTATTTACTTTAATTGTAGATGCTATATGATAGCTCAAAAATAAATAAATAAAGACTTAATTCAACACAAAATGTTACTATCGTGTCAAGGTTTTTTATTATTGATTTTAGTATATATCACATACAGCATGTCCCAAATGATTTTGACAACACTAGCAATTTTTTCCATGAATGACAGTTGCAATAAACAAAATTCAAAATAAATATAGGAAAGCGCAGACAAACAAAACTCTTATTAGTTAGTTTATTTACAATTTGTTACATTATTCACATAAGTTTGTCATTTTGTACTTTTTCCTTACACTACAAATTGCACTGACATAGACACATTACTTTATAAATCACACAAAAATCTTCTTTGTTCAACGCAAACAGGTCCGAAATTCGAAAGTTCATCGGTTTGTGTTCGCCTAATATACTAAATATGCGGTCGTATAACCCCTCGTCTACTTCTAAATTGTGCTTAAATTTAACCATCCAGCCACATGTCGCCGCTCCTTTACTGAAAATCGCATTTATTTCCAGTATCGTCATCCTGGGTAATATAAAGCGACCAAAATAATATTTTTTTATTTCTTCCAAATCTTCCTGTGGAAACACGGATTGGTTCCAATTTTTGGGGCACAGAACTGGGAGATTTGGCATGGTTGCGCTAGAAATGCCATAATGGAAAATATATATAAATAATTTAAACACCTCTTACCAAATTACTCATTCGATCTACACAACAAAACGACACCACGTGGTGGACAACTTTAAACTTTAATAAGAAACGTGGTGATAATGGCCAGAGAATAGCCAGAAGGTATGTTCGAAAATAATGCAACTATATGACCCCTAGCAAAGAGTACATAGGGGCGAAAATTGTGTAGTTGACCAGTAATTGCTTAATAGTTTTTGTGGCTCATTTTTGCTTAAACCTGCATGGCAGCTAAAAACGCTTCATGTTAAAAAGTTTTGCGGATGTAGAGTTCCTGTATTGTATCTATCTGTGTAATATAATGCAGTAACTCTACTTTTTGAATTTTTAGAAATCGTGACAGCGCCCTCTGAATTTTGTTAAATGAACTCAACGAACTCACCAACAGGAAAATACGTGCAGAAAGGAAATCATAACACACAGAAAGGAAATCATAAGAAAAAACGAAAAAATATCAAGTTTTTAATTACTTTTTAACCATTGCGGCGTTCTGTGTACGCCACTGCAATCCCAAACTAAAAATATCCTGGATTATCAAAACAACGACGTGACAGATGTAAAAATTAGAAAGGAAACACATAATCACACTTTATTTTTAAAGTGTAAACACGATACACCACAGAGTTTTTATTTGTGGATCACAGATAATCAGACAAGTGAAACGTGTAAAGCCGGCTACACACAGACAGATGCACTTCCGCATTATTACCGAATAACGTTGAAATTTGTGTACAAAGTCTACCTGTGTGTAGCCAGCTTAAGGAAGTGCAACTATAACAATAAATTACAATATGAGACACCTGTGTAAGCAATACAATCAGTTTGTTGACATTTCCCATTTTTAAAAAATTCTTGCCACCCTTAAACCTCCCAACTCCGCGCCTCTGGTGTTAATTGCGCAATAAATGCAGTCAAGGTCAGCCCAAACCGGCTCCTGCTTGCATCGTACGCCACTGCCCCCATCAAACAAAAATATCATCGATTATCAAAGCAAAACAAGCAACAAAACAGATATAAAACTAGAAAGAGAACCTTCACATAATCGCCTTTTATTTTTAAAATGTAAACACCGCACCGTGTTTGCGGTCAACAGATAATAGAACCGGTTGTGTTGAAAGAGTTGTGTAAAATTTCCGAAAGAAAAATCGCTTTTCTGAGCCAAAAATTACAATAAGACCTCATGGATGCATTCGACCCACCGCAGAACTTATAAATAAAACCGTCCTAAAGATAAACAGCGATTACGTTATTTTTAACCCATTTTTCTTGTTTTCTCGCTTCTTCGAACAAAAGCGTCGCCGCTATCTATCTTCCTTTCTCTGGCCGGTACACCCATCAACCTTTCACATGCAAAATACGGCGCCATTTATGGGTGCATCTATAAATTAACAATCAGGACAAGAACCTGATTGCAAAGAAAACAAAAAGCAACGCGGTTGCGAAGGTCGCAGCTGGTTCTAATTTCTCTATTGAAGTGCGATGGGTTAACAATGTTGCAGTGATAACAGTGAGTATGAAGTCTTATCATGGTTGTGGACCCATCGTGTCGCGTGTAAATAAACGCACCATCATGGTACCAGAGAAAAAGTCGCTCTTGTCATTGTTGCATAATTCCACCATGGTGGCCAAACCGACCCACCCATGAAAATGGTTGCAGCTGGGTGCATTTCCCATTTGTGTTTGTGGTCAAGTGGGTTGGGCGCCCCCACCCTTTCTGGTTGACATTTTAAACCTAAATCGTACCCAGCATGGGTAAATAACTCAACTGACTCCCCTGAGGCTTTAGAAAAATCAGATCTTATTCTGAAAACCACTTTATTTTTGAAGTGGTTTTGGTCACTTTTGTGCCACTAATGGTTACGACCTGTGGTACTTTCGGATGTGTTATATTTTGGTAAAAGGTGTTTTTTCAGTCTCTTTCAAATGATGAATAGTTTTGCTTTATCATTCTAATAAAAAAGCGTTAAAGGCTTAACAATAAATAAGCAGTGGTACTTTGCTACTAAGTACAGAGTAAGAAGATCACGAAAACGCAGGGAAATTGTAACATATTAATTTCCAATGTTGCAGTGTTCGAAATAAAAACTGATTGTCCATTTTATTATCATTAAAATTTTAAAAATTCCAGCCATTTGTGGTCAATTTTTTCGTCGATTTGTAGTAATAATGCAAGTTATGCAACCAATTATACTCGTCGTCGCCGCGGACGCATGCGCAGTCCACATTATTCCGACTCACCTGTTGGGAAACAAACAAACTGTGCTATGAGAAAATGGCGCTTTCTGTCGAGTCGAGTGCATTTGGTCGCGAGCTGGCTGCGGGAGTGCTCCCAGACGACGACCTAGTTTGAACCGTTCGATGGTCAGATAGACGCGAAAAGCGAAGATTCCCCGAAAATGAGTGAAAATCGTGCAGAAACCGGCCCAGAAAATCCGGATGGAAAACCGCCTGCGACGCTTCCCCAGGGTGACGTCGTTCAACAGAAAGATGCGTGCGCACTCGGCCGACCCGAAGCCGGCGCGAAGATGCCCGAATGCGACATACCGACGAAGAAGAGGAAGACGAGACGCGGAAAATCAAAAAGGAGGTAAGAAAAGCCGGAAAAGTCGAAACAGATTTACATAAACTCGGACTCGGATTATAGACTTCGGGCGGTATGGACCGATTGCGTTGTCAAAAGTCGATCGAGTTGACTTAAATGACACTAATTAGCGGCGATTTACATACCGCACGAAATCCATAAAATATGTCAAGGCTGCAGCGCGCTCCTAAGACAAGTGAATTAAATAAACCGGAAGTGCAGCATTACTCATTACACACTTACAAATTGCTTTAATGCGTCCATAATTCAAAAGAAAGATGTAACTACTTTCGCGTGCTGTTTCCGCTTGGAATTGGCGAAAAAAGGTGTGGGGAATTATTTTAATTGAGCGTTTGCATAACGTTTGTCCGAATTTATGGCCCCGGGTTGTAAAAGTGATGGACAAAGGCATTGGCGTTCGTCGGAGGGGTTTTATTTTTATTGCCGCGATTAGATCTAGTGGGCCGATGACGCATTATGACAGTTGTTTTTTGTTCTTTTTGGTGTATCGATTCCTCTTTATTACCCCTCAAATTGAATTTTTCGCTTGTTCGTGATTGTGGTGAAATGCCATAGAAACAAACTTCTCTGTATGCACACTAAAAAAAAAGTTGTGGAAGTCAACCTTCTGGTTTCACGTTGGTTAAAAATAATGACGGTCGTTTTGTGTACAGAGTCTACAAATAACTGTCTCATACTTCACCGTGGAAATCCAGTGTCCAAATTTGCCGCGCGACATTACGCTGACATGACTTTTCAACGCCGTCTCAAAGGCGACGTCGATTTGACAATTTAATTATAGTCCCGGTTTCGACAAGGCGGCAAAGTCGACGCCCACTTGACTTGAAACAGAAAAAACGGCCGAACTAATTTTCGAGGGTTTTGGGGACGCAGTTTTAGCCCATTAAAAAGATTGATGACGCCATCATAAAATTTAAATGATTATTACATCCAAGTGGGCTCTGATTTGTCCGCCTCTTTTGGACTGTGGAACTATATAAGTTCATCTTATTGTCACTAATTGTTTAATTGGTTGCCTAATCTCGAACACATTTAATTGAAAAATATAGTAAAAAAAATTGAGATCGATGAACCCCAGTGATAAAAACTTCAAACGTCGAATGTCATTATTACTACAATTAAAGCCCGAAAACGAACTACCATTACTAAGAAGCGGCTAATCTGAATATTCGAGAGCCATTTGAGCGAAGATGAAACAAACGTAAAGTGAAAGTCTCATCGAACTTTTTGAAGAAGAATTACAGAAACGGAATAATGATGGGAATTTCGTCGCGCATTTTCGCTTTCTTTGTCCTCGCCTTTTTTAATTAGATCCGACATAAAGCTAAAGCAAAACTGTGCCATCTCGGAGGCGCCACCTAAAACGCGTTAATTCCGTCATAAATTAGAGGGTCCTCTTTGTCCTTCTTAATTTACACAAACATGTCACGACAGGCTTTAGAAACGTCCGCAGCTTTATAAATAAATTATTAAAAACGTGCCGACAAGTCGAGCGTTTTTGTGAAATTCGAAATCCGAAGGAATGCGGCAAAAATTACTCGACTTCTTTGTCGGTTCTCATATTAACAAAGAAAACGGTTTGCATACTACCGGTTTGTTCACACCTCTATTGTGTTATGAATTTTTTCGGGCGATTTTCGGAAAAAAAGAGAGAGCGCTGGTGTTTATTTTTGTTGGGAATGTGTCGCAATATATGGTAATTCGGTGACGTCCTCTAGGTCATGGGCGGGGGAGATGATGGAGATAAGTGATACAAATCTCTTTAAGCCGAGATTAAAATCGTTTATTTTATAACCATAATCGATCCGACAATCGAGAGGCGAAGATAATGGAATCGGGCACAAAGAAAATGGAAATGTTGTTTGTGCTGAATAAAGTTAGTCTTTTGTTTTACAGTTATGGCCGTTCGGGAGTTAGGATGTCGTTATTTTTTTATTCGAGTGGTGGTATTAGTGATAAGGTTTTATTTAGGGGGGGTGACCGAATTGAAATGTTAAGGGAAAGCAACCACTTGGGGTGGATACAATTACAACGTGGTAACACCCTTAATCGGAGTACTTTATGTATTTTTTAAATTTGTTTGCATCGTTATCGATTGGTCTTTGTGCTTCAAATTAAACGATGAAATGAGGTTTTACAGAGTTAATAAACGAATACCGGTAACAATTTAATCTCTATTCACGACTGAGTGATATTTCATCGAACAGCAATGAGTTGATTGAGTGCTCTTGATGTATTGCTCGAACCATAGATACGTTACCGAATTCATGCCAGTGCAATAATCCTGCAATTACCGCATTTATGGCCACGATTACGTAATTAGTGTCTTATCAAACACCTGACCTCCGTTGGACCCAACTTTTAAACCCCAATTATACAATTACGCGTCGAATAATTCCCAAACTTGGCTCATTACTAGTCACCGCACAAAAAAGCTTATCACATTGTCGCCATTCAGATGTAAATTTGAACTTCAAGACTCGTAAGCAAACACCATATTCGGCGACAATTCTCCAATGTGTAACTTCAGCCCTACGAGCTAATTAAATGTTGAAAAGGCGCAGATTTCATGGGGTGAAATAACGGCTCGCGAGCGTCGTTCTTTCGAGGCAGGAGGCTTAGTGTTTGGCTCTTCAATTACGGCGGAAACTTGCTCTTTGTTTGGTTAAAGTTTCAAGAATAAATATGTGATGAGGAGGAAAAAAGCGGTTTGTGTCTGGCTGGTAATTAGCCGAGGCATATTCGGAGTGTTTTTTTGAAGGCGGCTCTTCGGCGGCGGGTTGCGTAAACGCTGGGTAAACAGGAAGGACGACATCGAGAATTTGTCGAAAATTTCTAACTCGTGGTGATGATGAGTTCGGAGGAAGCTCGAGAAAGCCGGAGAAAATCGACGGGTATTACGTTAATGAAGCCGAAGACTTAATATGCGTACAATAAATTAATTAATAATGTTGAGCCGAGCGCCGGATTCGCGCTAAGCTCGACGGGTTTTAATTTCGGATGAAGTTGTCGGTTTGTTTATGCCGCGGGATCTTTTTTGTTTTATTGCGGATTTCGGAGTTTTAAAAAAATCATAAACATGAGATTCCGTATTTTTAAAGCATGCATACGTTGTCTTCTGTGATGACTTGATCAGTTTTCTTGGTTAGAATATGAAATTTCGTAAATTTTGACTCTGACTTGGTTTAATAATTTCTCACAAAGGTGGAAATTATAATAAATGGGAAGTTTCATTTTAGCGATGATTTGAATAAAACAAGTGGATTTTGATGGTTTACCATTTTTATTTGCAAATTCTCTCCCTTCTCTCCTCTCTCTCCTCTCTCTCAGCTCTCTCCTCTCTCTCATCTCTCTCATCTCTCTTCTCTCTTTTTTCTCTCTCCCTCCCGTCTCCCTCCTCTCCGTCTTTGGTTTCATCTCCACTAATCTCTCTCTCTCTCCTTATCCCCTGTCATCTCTTCCCTAATCTCTCTCATATCCCACATCCCACATCGTCTGAAAAAACTAACTTTATTTCTCTCTTTCTCCGAATCTCTCAATTTCTCTCTTATTCTCTTTTTCTTCTGATCTTCCCCCTCTCTCTACTCTACCTTCATCACCCTCTCGTATCTGCTTCTTTTCTCTCTAACTCTCTCTCGCCTCCTGTCTACACTCTCTCTTGCCTCATGTCTTTCTATCTTCTCTCTTGCCTCATGTCTTTCTATCCTCTCTCTTGCCTCATGTCTTTTTATACTCTCTCTTGCCTCATGTCTTTTTATACTCTCTCTTGCCTCATCTATTTCTATTCTCTCTTGCCTCAACTCTCCCTATCCTGTCTTGCCTCATCTCTGTGTGTGTCCTTTCTTGGCTCATCCCTCTCTCTATCCTCTTACCTCAAGTGTTTCTCTCGTCCCTCATGTTTCTCTCTCGTGCCTCATATCTATCTCTCTCGTGCCTCATATTTCTCTCTCTCTCTCTCTCTCTCTCTCTCTCTCTCTCTCGTGCCTCATGTCTCTATCCTCTCTTTTGCCTCATGTCTCTCTATCTTCTCTTGCCTCATGTCTCTCTATCTTCTCTCTTGCCTCATGTCTCTCTATCCTCTTTCTTGTCTCATGTCTCTTTGTCCTATCTCTTGTCTCATATATCTCTATCCTTTCTCCGTCTCTCTATCCTCTCTTGCATCATGTCTCTCTAACCTCTCTCTTGTCTCATGTCTCTCTTGCCTCATGTCTTTCTATCCTCTCTGGCCTCATGTCTCTCTATCCTCTCTCTTGTCTCATCTCTATTCTCTCCCCTCTCCCTTGCCGCATCTCTCTCTCTCGTGCCTCATATCTCTCTCTTGCCTCATGTCTCTATGCTCTCTCTTGCCTCATGTCTCTATGCTCTCTCTTGCCCCATCTTTCTGTTTTCTCTTGCCTCATGTCTCTGTGTGTGTCCTTTCTTGCCTCATCTTTCTCTCTCTTGCCTCACTTCTCTCTCTCTCTTCTCTCTTGCCTCACTTCTCTCTCTCTCTTCTCTCTTGCCTCACTTTTCTCTCTCTCTTCTCTCTTGCCTCACTTTTCTCTCTCTCTTCTCTCTTGCCTCACTTTTCTCTCTCTCTTCTCTCTTGCCTCACTTCTCTCTCTCTCTTCTCTCTTGCCTCACTTCTCTCTCTCTCTCTTCTCTCTTGCCTCACTTCTCTCTCTCTCTTCTCTCTTGCCTCACTTCTCTCTCTCTCTCTTCTCTCTTGCCTCACTTCTCTCTCTCTCTCTTCTCTCTTGCCTCACTTCTCACTCTCTCTCTTCTCTCTTGCCTCACTTCTCTCTCTCTCTCTTCTCTCTTGTCTCATGTCACCCCCTCTCCCGTGCCCCATACCACCATATATCTCGTGTCCCATGTCACTCCTTTCTCGTGCCTCATGTCATTCCTTTCTCGTGCCTCGTGTCACTCCTTTCTCGTGCCTCATGTCACTCATTTCTCGTGCCTCATGTCAACCCCCTTGTGCCTCATGCCACCCCTCTCGTGCATCATATCACCCCCTCGTGCCTCATGCTTCTCTTTCTCTCGCCTCATATCCCTCTCAATTGCCTCATCTCTCTATCCTCTCTCTTGCCTCATCTCTCTTTTCTCTTGCCTCATTTCTCTGTCTTCTCTTGCCTCATGTCTCTTTGTGTCCTTTCTTGCCTCATCTCTGTGTGTCCTTTCTTGCCTAATCTCCCTCTGTCGTGCCTCATGTCACCCTCTTTCTCGTAGCTCATGTGCCCCCCCACTCTCGTGCCTCATGTCACTCATTCTCTCGTGCCTCATGTTTCTCTCTTGTCCCTCATGTTTCTCTCTCTCTTGCCTCATGTTTCTCTCTCTCTTGCCTCATGTTTCTCTCTCTCTTGCCTCATGTTTCTCTCTCTCTTGCCTCATGTTTCTCTCTCTCTTGCCTCATGTCTCTCTCTTGCCTCATGTCTCTCTCTTGCCCCATGTCTCTATTCTCTCTCTTGTCTCATGTCTCTATTCTCTCTCTTGTCTCATGTCTCTCTATCCTCTCTTTTGCCTGATGTCTCCTTATGTTCTCTTGCCTCATGTTTCTATTCTCTCTCCTCTCCCTTGCCGCATCTCTCTTTCGTGCCTCATATCTCTCTCTCTCGCCTAATGTTTCTATCCTCTCTCTTGCCTCATGTCTCTATCCCCTCTCTTGCCTCATGTCACTATTCTCTCTCTTGCTTCATGTCTCTTTATCCGCTCTCTTGCTCCATGTTTCTTTATTCTCTCTCGTGTCTCATGTCTCTATCCTCTCTCTTGCATCATGTCTATTCTCTCTCTTGCACGATGTTTCTCTAGCCTCATCTCCCTTTCTCTCGCTTCATGTTTCTATCTTCTCTCTTGCCTCATGTCTCTTTATCCTCTCTCTTGTCTCATGTCTCTCTCCCTCCTTTCTTTTCTCTCTTTCGCTCCCCTCTCTCCTCTCTCCCGCTCCCTTATTCCTTCCTCTCTTTCCCCTCCCCCTATTCCCTCCCTCTTCCTCTTCCACCCCCCGTCCCTCTCGCCCCCCTCTCTCTCTCTCACTACTCTCCCTATGTCTTCTCACTCTGTCTTATATTCTCCTCCTTTCCTCACGCTTTCTCTATTTCCCTCATTCCACTGTTTCTTTTTCTTTCCCACTACTTCGTCCCATTGTACTAATTCTCTTTCCTATATTTTTGTTCTCTTCCCTTTATTCATTTTCTCTTGACGTATCTCTGTCTCACATTTTATTATTCTTTTCTGTCTCTGTACATATCCCCTTTTTAATTCTCTTCCTCTTTTTTTCTTGCTCTTTTCCTTATTCTCCCGTTCTAACTTCTATTCTCACACTTTCCTTCATTGTCATCTTTTATTTTCCACGTTAACTCTCCCCCAATCTCTATTTTCTCCGTGGTGAGTTTCCCTCGTTCTGTCTTTCCTCTGTTTTTTCCTGTTTTCTTCCATTCTTTCGCACTTCTTCCCCATTCCCTTATCCCCTTCCTCCCTTTTTTCCTGTTCCCCTTTTCTCTTGTCATCTTTTTCCCCGTCCCCTCTTTCTTCCGTTCTCGCTTGGCCCGTTCTCTTTCCTCTAGTGCCTCTCGTTCCCTTATTCTCTCATTTTCTCCTAAATTCTCTCTCTCACGCTCACACACATTTTATTATTCTTTTCTGCTCATTTCGTTTCTCCTTTTTCTTTTCAATTTCCCTTTTAGCTTATTCCCTCTTCTTCTTTCTCTGATCCTTTCTCTCCGACGTTATCCATTCGCTCTGCTCATGTTTTCTCTACTATCTGTCTTTGTCTCATTCTTTCCATTGTTCTCATTCATTCTTTCCCGCATTCTCGTTCTTTTTTCCTCATTGTCTCCGTACTTCCTTCATTCTTTCCTTCCCCCTACTTTTGCCCTGGCCCGACTCGAGGAGACCTGACCCAACTTTGGCTCCTTTTTCCTCGTTCTTAACTCCTCCTGTGATCCTCCCTTTCTTTCGTATATTCTTCCTCTCGCTTTTCCTTATTTATTATTTTTTCCTGTTTTCGTTAAAATCTTCACAGTTGGTACTTTTGATTGTCGGATTGTCAATAAATTTTCGTTGTTGCGGGGATAGTAACATGTTTAAAGAGTTACAGCCATTATTATTTTTTAATTTTCCAGGTATCCCTACCCGAAGAACGGGCGCAAGTCGACGAAAGTGATAAAACCCGAAGCCCCCTACAACAGCAACCAGTTCCTCCTCGAGGACCACGGCAACATCGAGGAGCTCGACGAGAATCTCAAGCACGCCGACCGGTTCTCGACGACGTCGGCCGGCCGAACGCGCGACTCCAGCTTCAGCGTGGAGTCCGAGGGCGAGTTCTACTCGTCGCCCGACGACGAGGAGCAGTTTCTCATCAAAGACTTCGTAGACCAGTACGAGAGCGTGCAGGCCGAGCGGCTGCAGGCCATGTCCAAGGACGAGCTCATCCAGGAGTACCTGCTGCTCGAGAGCAAGCTCGAGCTGCTGACGAAGCGGCAGCGCAAGCGCGGGGCGGCGGACGAGGCCGAGCTCGCCGCCGCCGCCCCCGCCGACCTCCAGGGCGAGGTGGAAAGACTGACGATCGAGAACGAGGCACTGAAGCGCGAGAACGCGGCGCTCCGGAGCAAGACCTGCAGCTCGGACTCGGAGGACTCGGAGACGGACTCGAACGACTCGTGCTCGAGCAGCAGCAGCAGCAGCAGCTGCTCGACGGCGCCGCCGAGTCCGCTGGTGGACTACTCGCAGACGAACGGCCACTCGGCGGGGGTGGAGACGGCGTAGGGGCGGAGGGTTTTAATACCAGTGTTGTTTCATTCCTAAAGTTTAAAGGGCTGTTCTGGATTCCACGTTTGCGTTTTTCCGGTTGAGTAGCGTAAGTGTAAAGTGACTGTAGTGCTTCAGGTTTTGTTGCCGTATGGACTGTAGTACAATAGACTGGTCTCATTGGTTTACATCACTACGCGTAGTCAATAGATGTGGTTTTTTCAACTTCTGTTGTAGGATCGAGGTTCGGCCAAATTTTCTTTTGTATTATATCATTATTTATGTACGTTTTTATATTGAAATTGTAGATAAGAAAAGTAGCTTTAAATTATTGCGGAAATATAAGTTGATATGATGCTTATGGGGGTTTTATTTCATATTATATGCACCTGGTGGAGTAAGGTGCTGAAGCCTATTGAGCCCGTATATAAAGTTCTTAGCACGGCATAGGAAAAAATTAGTTAAACAAAAAATGGAAGTATAATAATACACAGTTTGCCGCTCACCTTTGTAGCAACGCGTACTACACACCTTAGCTGGCACGCAATGTCAATAATTTAGTTATAATCCATGTTCTAAGGCAATACCTACTGTGATGCGGCAATTATTTATAGACAATTACATATTCACAGTTTGACTAGAAGCGATTGTTAAATCATAGGTAGCGTAGCCACCACAGAACAATTCTCTTAATAGAGAGTTAAGTGTTCTCTGTCTGATTGCCTCTATTGTGGGTTATATTATTGTCATTGATGGCTTTTGTTTTCTACGACCGTCATCATAATTGAGTGCGATTTTCTAAAATTTAACAAGGACTTGATTTGATTAATTTTGACGTTGTTTTCCAAGGATTTTTGAATCTAGGTAATCGCCATTTTTTTTTTTGAAAAATTTTTGAAAGTAAGTGAAAGTACTCAGGTTATTACAGTTTATGTTGAGTTAAACAAGAGTTTGTCATCAGTAAAAGTTAAAATAGTTTAAAAAGTTGACTGGAAAAGAAATACATAGTTGTTGCAAGTATTTAAGATATCGAAGAAGTTAAAAATGAAATAGAAATTAGATTTGATTATTCAATAGAAAAGTCTGTTCCAATGAATTTCAGTCCTAAAGATTTATGTAGGGAAGGAATTTATAAAAAACGGAATGTATTGTCTTTTTACTGTTAGGTCCTAATTGTCTTGATTGTTTATGTTAGATAGGCAACACAGTATACACACACTATCAGGTTACCACTTTAAAGAAGTTATTTTGTGAATAATAATTATTATAATTTGGTCTTATATCTATCAACTAATGAAATCAGTGGTTGGCAACATTTTCTAAGTTTTATTATGCCATTGTAGTTGCCCAAAAATTTGCTTCAGTCATTAATAGTCAGTCAATTCATCAATTTTCATTATTCAAAGTATGTTTTTGGGGGCCATAAGGGTGTTTTTGCTGGAAAAATAATAAAACAAAATCTAAAAGTTCATCGACTTGATTTTCATTTGCTACGATTTCTCCGAATTTCACAGACTGTAATTTAAATTATACGGTTTAAACAGGCAAATGATTGGGAAAAAAGAATACGGAGAAGCTGGTATTTTTCCAAAATGAGTGCCTTAATAAAGGGGGCTATCACATCGACAAGAAATACACATGGTAAGTGAGTAATTTTTATAAACAAACGTCTTTTTAATGTTAAAATTATGCATTTAATAATGTTATGAACGCATATGCAACCAATAATACAGCTCCGTAAAGTTCGTTGCATAAAATTCACCAGTAATTAAAAGGATCCATCCAATACTTTGATCCATTGTTTTCGCAATTTAATTCACCATTACATTACATTTTTCATAAATGGAAGACAGTTGTGTTCACGGAAAATTTTTACTTCCTGAGCGTACGTCAGCGAGTCAAGTATTGTAATCGAGTCCGTCGACCGACTGTATACTTTTACGTTTTCTCGAAACATGCTATATTTTTGGAATCAGCGTGTCGAGATCTACGTCCTTGAATTTTTTCATAATTTTTAGACAACTTTTCTAAAATTGAAATTTTTTAACGGTCCCCCCTTCTTCAAATTTCGCAAAAATTTTGACATTTTCGAAACTCAACTAAATACATTTTCTAGTAGATTTCGAGCCGTGGAACCCAAATCCGGCTTCGGTTTTTTGATACATGCAACCGTTTTTCCAGAATCGACCGTTGAAATTTCGAAATTTTTGAAATTTTCAAAAATTCGCATTTCGCAACGATTTTTTCGAAAATCTTGCTTCGTGACAAGCAACATGCTATATTTTTGGAATCAGCGTGTCGAGATCTACGTCCTTGAATTTTTTCATAATTTTTAGACGACTTTTTTAAAATTGAAATTTTTTAACGGTCCCCCCTTCTTCAAATTTCGCAAAAATTTTAACATTTTCGAAACTCAACTAAATATATTTTCTTGTAGATTTCGAGCCGTAGAGCTCAAATCCGGCTTCGGTTTTTTGATACATGCAACCGTTTTTCCAGAATCGACCGTTGAAATTTCGAAATTTTTGAAATTTTCAATAATTCGCATTTCGCAACGATTTTTTCGAAAATCTTGCTTCGTGACCATCAACATGCTATATTTTTGGAATCAGCGTGTCGAGATCTACGTCCTTGAATTTTTTCATAATTTTTAGACAACTTTTTTAAAACTGAAATTTTTTAACGGTCCCCCCTTCTTCAAATTTCGCAAAAATTTTGACATTTTCGAAACTCAACTAAATACATTTTCTTGTAGATTTCGAGCCGTAGAACTTAAATCCGGCTTCGGTTTTTTGATACATGCAACCGTTTTTCCAGAATCGACCGTTGAAATTTGGAAATTTTTGAAATTTTCAAAAATTCGCATTTCGCAACGATTTTTTCGAAAATCTTGCTTCGTGACCATCAACATGCTATATTTTTGGAATCAGCGTGTCGAGATCTACGTCCTTGAATTTTTTCATAATTTTTAGACAACTTCTAAAATTGAAATTTTTTAACGGTCCCCCCTTCTTCAAATTTCGCAAAAATTTTGACATTTTCGAAACTCAACTAAATACATTTTCTTGTAGATTTCGAGCCGTAGAACTCAAATCCGGCTTCGGTTTTTTGATACATGCAACGGTTTTTCCAGAATCGAACGTTGAAATTTCGAAATTTTTGAAATTTTCAAAAATTCGCATTTCGCAACGATTTTTTCGAAAATCTTGCTTCGTGACCATCAACATGCTATATTTTTGGAATCAGCGTGTCGAAATCTACGTCCTTGAATTTTTTCATAATTTTTAGACAACTTTTTTAAAATTGAAATTTTTTAACGGTCCCCCCTTCTTCAAATTTCGCAAAAATGAATGACATATCATCTGAGAAAATAGGGGGCGGGTGGACGTAGATAATACTTGGGAAGATAAAACTGATTTTGGCAGATGACATACTTTCCAAGAAAGTAAAGGGTGGGTGGGTGGGGCTAATACTTGCTAAGACAAAACTTATTTCGGCAGAAGATATATCCTATGAGAATATAGAGGGCGGGTGGGCGGGCCGAGTACTTGTTAAGATAAAACTGATTTTGCCCGTATTAATATTGTAAAAACTTGTGAAATTTAAAGTTGTTAAATTGCAAACTTCATTAGTAACGAGTTAAATTCCTTAATCTACCCGAAATGTGCAAAATGTGATAAGTTTTAACATGTGATTTATCACTGCATGCATATTTTTTAGATTTGCTTAAACAGGTGGCTCAAAAAAATCAATGAATGAGTAAATTTATTTTATTGATTAAATCAGGAACGGCTCCATTTTCCCAGAAAGTTTTGGGAATACGAAACTGTTATTTTTAGTATTACACTGCACCACGTGTTTGTGACGTCATCACAAAATAATGGAAAGAAAAACTCAACGCGAAAATGCTGGATATGTGTCATTGTACTTCAGGAGCGAGGGAAGTTCTGTCAAAACAACTTTCGACCATTTTTTTTAAATTGTGCAAACCCAGCTTTAGATTTAAACTCGTTTGGCAGGATGTTAATGTCCATTAAATCTGGTTGAGGTTATGATTACAAAACCATAGAATTAGAAAAAATATAAACCAACCACACGTCTATTTTAAGATGCGCAAAATCTAGCCAAAATGGTGGAGGCGCCGGGCATCCACTTTAATAATTTTTAAACGAAAAATAAAACTGTGTTATTTAAATGAAAGTCGTGGGAAAATTAATAGTTATATTTAAAACAAAATTTCATTTGTAACAATAATAATCTTGTACTTTTTTCAACAATATAAACAGAATTATCATTTTCATTTCGCAAATGAAGGTTAATTAAACGAGTTAACCCAAAACTACAAATAAAAAAATAACTGATCTACGCTTGGAGCAAATGAGAATCTTGAATAATTGGGAAGAACGCATGAAACAAATGAAGAAGTGTGTTAACTCATGTAACTACTAACATTACACAAATCGCCTAATGGTATAAACAATATGTACAACATGAAATTAGCTTAACATGATCTATTTATACAACACTTAAAACTTAAAGTTTATGTCTCTATAAAATACCTAAAAACAGGTAATAATATCAACTTAGGGAGGATAATCTTAACATAAGATCAAAATATAAAATAAAACTTGATTCCCTCGCGACAACCAAATAAAAATTCTTGAGGATCTCGGCTTAAAACGAAAACAAATTAAAAATACAGGAAGTCAATTACTAAAATGGTTTGACCAACTAAAACAAGATTGTAAAACATTTACCTAGCCTTATTCTTATATCACATAACATATTTGACACATGAGAAATGATTTAAAATATACTTTCTTATAGGTATAACAAAGACTATATTTTTATCCTATATCTTATAAAATGTATACTCTTCTTTAAGATTTTGGTTCAGTCTTGCACGAAATTAAATTAGTGATTTGCTTATCTAGCTATCTGCGTCTGCAGCTTCTGAATTCAATTGATTCAACTTACTTGGGTCGTTGATAAAAACCTTCTTGGCTAAAGTCTGCAACAGAAACGGGAGATTTCGATAATCAAAGCTGATTAAACGTCACATCAATGTACTCCACGTCAGTACAAAATTCCAAAAAACAGTACTGGAAAATCTCACAATACTGTAAATGTTTTCATACCCTTTAAACCTCAGACGCGTGTTTTCTTTACGTTTTTGCTTCGTTCCCACTGTGTTTACTTTAAAATTCATACATGGAAATTCCGCGAAATGTATTATCAAGTTCGTGGCTAAAAAACCCCACGGGTCTAGTTATCTCGTATTTAGCAATCTCAAGGTTAATTTCAAGAATTAAACTATTTTTTTTCTATAAGTCGGGCACCAGTTCTCTCAAAAACATACACATATTGATTTTTTTTGTTTTGTATCGACCTGACGTGGAGTCACGAAAGCATGCACCCACCTTTAAACTCTCTAAACATTGGTCCCCATCAGCAGTATTTATTTCCGTAAGCAGACTGTTAGACCTTTCCAACTCCGCGTACAAACCGAAAGGTATTTTTGCAAGACATTCCAACTTCATGATGTGCATTTTCGAGCGCAAATGTTTCGCCAGATGTCCGTGTATTCGAAACGCTATATTACAATCGACGCATTTGAACGGCCGAGGCTCTGACGAAGATAAGGCAGGAGATGAAGATAACTAAAACAAACACGTACAAAATAGACCCATCACCTGTTGGTTTACGTCGGTGGCTTAATTCGCGATAATCGAGAGAGCACGATTTTTTTTTAATTTTAATTTCGATTTCGTCGTACCTTATTGTGATGACTAGCACTCCTCTCGTGTTTTTGTAGATGGCCTTTGGTCCGAAAGCTCACAGAACACGAATGGCACCGAAACGGACGTTCTAGGTAGTGGATGTTCATGTGTAGCCTGGAAGAAGAGGGTCAAAAACGGGCTCGAGGAGTCGATGGGTGCAAAATCAGTTGGCGGTGTAATTTTTTGCGAGGTTTGAAGATTGTTGTGTAATAGTTGTGGAATAATTACTCAACTTATAAAAAATATAAACACATTAGCAGTCAGAAGGAAAGGTTAATTAATTATTATCAATACATTAACCTTTTGAACTTTGGATTTTTATGGTAAAAAGCGTGAAGATATTCAAAACCACAAAACATAATGAAAAATGCAAGTCACGCAACCTTGACTTATGTGGTGTGAGCTGTGACATAACTGAGAAAATACTGAAAATTTTAAATATTTGAACCTCGGTGGCAAATATTCATGAAATATTGAAATATCGGTTTCAATTGTGTGAATTATGATTAGATTCGGTGGAATTGTTATCATTGCAGTACATCGATATTCCGTAACAATCGAGATATTTTTATAAATAACTTCGAAAAAATTGTAACAGGATTAATTAAGTCAGTTTTTTTTGTCATAGTGGCTTTTGGTTCGCATTAAACAATATTTTCATTAATTGAAATGAAAAAAAAATGCACCACTGATGGCTTAAATAACGAGTGACTATTAATGATTGAAGCCAATTTTTGTGTTGGCAACTCTGAATTATTGGCATCTGTGATAGTACGTCAAATCACAATTGTCAATTTTGACATAAGCACGCCTAACAAGCGTGTTGATTGGTTGAGACGATGGCAGGTATGCCTTCATAAAATTTTAAATAGGTTGCCAACTTGACAAAAAAAATCACAAACAATAATAGTCCCTCGGTATTTTAAATTTCGATTTGAAAATGTTTCCTTTTTTTCAACGTATCGATTTTTCGTTTCTTCAGTTTTCGAATTTTGATTATTATTTTTTTTCTCGCTTTTTCAATTTCTAGATATTTTTATTTTTCGAGTTTTCAATTTTTTCGTTTATCGATTTAATTTTTAAAATTCTGAATTTTTGACTTTTGATTTTTCAATTATCCAATTTTTTCAATTTTTCGATTTTTCAGTAATTGCATTTTTGAATTTTCAACTTTTAATTTTTTTATTATTCAATTTTCGAGTAATCAATTTAAAATTTTCAGTTTTTGGATTTTCAACTTTTGAATTTTTCAATTATTCAATTTTCGTTTCTTATTTTATATTATAAAATTTTTCAAAATCGCATTTTTCGATTTTTCAGATTCTCGATTTTTAATTTTTCGATTCTTCAATTTTTCCATTGTCACTTTTCAATTTTCAGATATGTATTTTAAGTTTTCGCTTTTTTTCGGTTTTTCTAATTTTTGATTTTTAATTGTTCAATTTCTCATTTTTTTGTTTCTTCAGTTTCTAAATCTTTGATCTTGGAATTTTTGAATTTCTAACTTTTAATTTTTTATTATTCAAGCTTTCGATCCTCGAATTTTTTGATTTTTTAGTTTCATTTTTGAATTTTCGACCTAGGAAATTTTGAATTTTCAACTTTTATTTTTTTTTATTATTCGATTTTTCATTATTTCGAACTTCAAATTTTTTTATTTTTTACTTTCTCGATTTGCAATTTTTCGGTGTTTAGCTATTTTTTCGTTTTCAGATTTTCGAATTTTAATTGTTTGATTTTTCATATTTCATTTCTTCAATTTTTAGATATTTTAATTTTTCTAATTTCCAGTTTGCGAGTTTTGATTTGTCGATTGTTAAATTTTTAATTTTTCGAGTTTTCATTTCAATTTTAATTTTTTTTGATGATTGCTTCAACTATTGAATTTTTCAATTATTAAATTTTTCAAAATGTGAATTTTTCGATTTCTCACTTTCCCGATCTTTAATTTTTCGATTCTTCAATTTTTCGTTTTTTCAGTTTTTCTCATTCTCGATTTTTAATTATTCAATTTTTTTCAATTTCTAAATTTTACCTTAGAATTTTTGAATTCTCAACTTTTAATTTCTTTATTATTAAAATTTTTCGATGTTCGAATTTTTTGATTTTTTAGTTTCTTAATTTGCAATTTGTCAGTTTTTAGTTTTTTTTTTCGTTTTTTCGATTTTTCCGATTTTTCAATTTAATTTTTTTTAGTGTATGAATATTTCAACTTTTGAATTTTGTTTTCTGAATTTTTCGATTTTTAGATATTTTAATTTTTCTAGTTTCCAGTTTACGAGTTTTCATTTGTCGATTGGTAGATTTTTCATTTCTTCAATTTTTCGATTTTAAATTTTTTCGTGACTGATGAAACTTTTGAATTTTTCAATTATTAAATTCTTCGAAATTCGAATTTTTAGATTTTTCAGTTTTTCGATTTTTATTTATTCGATTCTCTAATTTTTCAATTTGCTATTTCTCAATTTTTAGATATTTTCAGTTTTCGTTTTTTCAGTTTTTCTGATTCTCGGGTTTTAATTGTACAATTTTTCATTTTTTCGTTTCTTCAATTTCTAAATTTTTACCTTGGAATTTTTTAATTTTCAACTTTTAATTTTTCTATTATTAAATTTTTCGGTCTTAAAATTTTTTAGTTTCTCAATTTCCAATTTTTCAGTTTTTAGCTTTTTTTCGATTTTTAATTGTTTGCTTTTTCATATTTCGTTTCTTCAATTTTCGAGTTTTCAATTTAAAATTTTTAGTCTTTGAATTTTCAACTTTTGAATTTTTCAATTTTTAGATATTTTAATTTTTTTTAATTGTCATTTTAATTTCTGGTTTGCGAGTTTTGATTTGCCGATTGTTAAATTTTTCATTTATTCAATTTTTCGATTTTACTATTTCTAGGTACTTTAATTTTTCGAGTTTTCATTTCAATTTTAAATTTTTTCGTTGATTGATTCAACTTTTGAATTTCTCAACAAATGAATTTTTCGAAATTCGATTTTTAATGTTTCGATTCTCTAATTTTTCGTTTCCTCAACTTTTCGATTTGCTATTTTTTGGATATTTTAAGTTTTCGTTCTTTCAGTTGTTCTGATTCTCGATTTTAGTTATTCAATAAAATAAAAAATAAAATAAATAAAATAAATTTTGATTTTTTCAGTTACTCTATTTTAAAATGTTTAGTTTAATTTTTGGATTTTTCAACTTTTCAATTAATTTTTTTATAATTTTTTGCTTCTTGAATTTTCGATTTTCCTATTTTTGGTTTCTTCTCTTTCTGATTTTTTCAATTTTTAATTTTTCGAGTTTTCAATTCTTCAATTTTTCAATTATTCGATGTTTTGGTTTTCGATTTTTTTAATTTTTCAATTTTTCGACTTATTTTTCGATTTTAAAATTTTTCGTTCCCTCAATTCTTGAATTTTCAACCTTGGAATTTTGTGGATTTTCAACTTTTGAATTTTTCAATTATTCAATTTTTATTTTTTCAATGAGTTTTAACTTCTCAATTAATTTTTTGTTTTCTCAAATTTGTGACTTTTCGGTTTTACAATTTGTCATTATTTTCACCTTTGCAACTTTTGAATTTTTAAATTTTTCAATTCCTCGATTTTTCAAATTTACGTTTTTTCAATTGTTCGGTTTGCATTTTTTCGATTTTCAATTTTTAGAAATTTTAAAATATCGAATTTTTAATTTAAAATTTTTTTCCTTGATCGATTTCAACTCTAGAATTTTTCGATTTATCAATTTCTTGATTTTTAATGTTTTCATTTTAAAATTTTTCGTGTTTAAATTTTTGATTTTTCAACTCTTTAATTTCTCAATTTTACAATTTTTTGTTTCTTGAATTTTCGATTTTACTATTTTTGGTTTTTTCCCTTATTGATTTTTTTCAATTTTTCAATATTTGGATATTTTAATTTTTTGAAATTTCAATTCTTGAATTTTTCGATTATACAATGTTTTGATTTTCGATTTTTTTTATTTTTCAGTTTCTCGACTTATTTTTCATTTTAAAATTTTTCGTTCCTTCAATGTCTGAATTTTCGACCTTGGAATTTTGTGGATTTTGAACTTTTGAGTTTTTCAATTATTCAATTTTGGTTTTCTCAATCAGTTACCCAATTTTAAAATTTTTTGTTTCTTTAATTTTTCGATTTTACAATTTCTCATTCTTTTCACTTTTGCAACTTTCGAATATTAAAATTTTTTGATTTTTTAATTCCTCGATTTTTCAGATTTACGTTTTTCCAATTGTTCGATTTGCATTTTTTCGATTTTTCAATTTTTAAAAATTTTAAAATATCGAGTTTTTAATTTAAAATTTTTTTCGTTGATCGATTTCTACTTTGGAATGTTTCAATTTTTCGATTTTTCAATTCTTCAATTTTCCAATTTTTTGCTTTTACAATTTTTCTTTTTCTGAATTTTCGATTTTACAAATTTTGGTTTTCTCAATTTTTCAATGCTTTGATATTTCAATTTTTCGATTTTTCTATTTTAAAATTTTTCATTTCTTCAATTTTTTGATTCTTTGATTTCTCGATTTTACAATTTTTCCTTTCTTCAATTTTTGATTTTATTAATTTTTGTTTCTCTCACTTTTTCAACTTTTGAATTTCTTCAGTTTCTCGATTTTTCAAATTTTCGCTTTTCAACTGTTCGATTGGTAGTTTTTCGATTTTTCAATTTTTAGAAATATTAATCATTCATTTCAATTTAAAATTTTTTCGTTGATCGATTTCAATTTTTCGTTTTTAAATTTTCTATTTTTCAACTGTTCAATTTTTCAATTTTTTGCTTTTTCAATTTCTCAATTCTAGAATTTTTGTTTTTTGAATTTTCCATTTTACTATTTTTCGTTTTTTCACCTTTCGTTTTTTTCTTTTTTCAATATACCGTTTCTTCAACTCTTCGATTTGCGCATTTTTTCAATTTCTCAATTATTCAATATTTTGATCTTCGAATTTTTCAATTTTTAAAATGTTCCGATTATTCAAATTCTCGATTTTACTATTTTTCCTTTTTTCGACTTTTGAATTTCTTTTTGAATTTCAATTTCTTCAGTTTCTCACTTTTTCAATTTTTCGTTCTTCAACTATTCGAGTGGGATTTTTCAATTTTTATGCAAGTTTTTAAATTTTCGAGTTTTCAATTAGAATTTTTTTTGTCCTTCGGTTTCAACTTTCGAATTTTTCAATGATTGGATTTTTTTTTGGATTTTCGAATTTTCGAGTTTGGGATTTTTCAAATTTAAATGTTTGAATTCTAGAATTTTTCATCTTCAATTATTCTATCTTTCAATTTTTCGATTCCAAAAATTTTTCTATTTTTCAATTTTTTGATATGCAACTTTTTTGAGTTTTCAATTTCTGAATTTTCTCAAGTTTTGGTTTCTTCGGGATCTCGATTTTACTATTTTTAGTTTTTTTTTAATTACCAGTTTCTCATTTATGTTTCAACTTTTGAATTTTCGATTTTTCGTTTTGCATTTTTTGATTTTCAATTCTTGGTGCATGCGATTTTGCAATTTCTCAACTTTCAATTTTCCATTTTACATGCCATTGTATTTTTTGTTGAAATATTGAAAAATTAAGAATAAAGAATAGGGAAAATTAAAAACAAAACACGAAAATGAAAATATGTCTCTAAAAACCGAACAATTCAAAAATTGAAAAATTTTAGTCATAACTCAGAAGAATATATACAACAATTTTTTTCGACGCGTTTCAGCAGCTACGCTGTCGCGCGTAAACCACCTCTCCCAACTGATTTTGCACGCCCTACCTTCACCCCTACCTCAACTGCGGCGCCTTGCTGAAGCTCTTCGCGCAAATATGGCAGCTCTTGTTCCCCTCCGGCCGCACCAGCAAATCGTTCACCTCCTGGTTCACCCTCCCGAAGGCGTTCGCCTCCCTGCCGCCGTCCCCCGCCGCCTCGTTCTTCGTCGCGATCTTCAGGTACTCCGACGCCACGCTCTTCGCCAGCGTGTTCTTTTCGAGCTTGACCTGCTTGGTCGCGATGTCCGCCAGCGTCTCCATCGCGCTGTTGTCGTACTCCACCGCCTTGTACTTGGGCGAGTCCCCGTTCGCCTGCCCCTCCTGGATCACGTAGTTTATGCTCACGTCACTCGCCATCGGCAGCACCACGTACCCGTTGCTGCGCGCCGGCGCCTTCTCCTCGGCCGCCTTCGCGAACGCCTCGTCGGCCGCCGCGTCGCCGTTGAACCGCGCCTCGGCCTTCTCCGCCGGCATCGACAGGTCGATCACCTCGTCCGTCTTCGGCTGCTTCGGCCGCTCGAACTCCTCGTAGCTGAGCTTGCGCTTGCGCAGGTCGGTCGCGAGTCCGTCGAGCACCGGCGCGTCGTTGACCTTGAGCAGCGGCGTCTGCGCACTGTTCACTTTCGCGTTCGGCACTTCGCTCGCGCTCACTCGGGTCCGGTCCTTCGCGGGCTTCGGGGACTCGCGCAGCTTGGGGGAGGCGGCGCGGGCGTACTTCTGGATCACGTGGAACTGCTTGATGCTCTTTTCTTTGTCGGGCTCGGGGGAGGGCGGCAGGACCGACGTGTAGGGGTAGGTGAGGGGTCGGTTGATGGTGGTTTTGCCGAGGAAGTGGGCGAGTTGGGTGTCCTCGTCGCCGCTGCTGGAGGCGGTGAGGCTGAGCTTGGGCGCGCTGAAGTTCATGGGCGGCTTGTCGTCGAGGATCTTGTTCTTGACGTAGTTGGATTTGGAGACGTGGACGATTTCTTCGGTGTTGAGGACGTTGTGGGGGTGCGGGCCGTCCACGCCGGTGGGGCTGCTGGAGTCGCCGATGTGGAGGGCCTGGGAGGTCTTCTGGGCGAGCGAGAGGAGGCCGTAGGCGGCCTCGTGCTCCTCGCGACGGGTTGACTCATCTACAAAAAAAATTAATCAGTGGGGTGTTTTTTATTTTATTTTTTTCGATAATCAAACATCAGGAGGTGCTGAAATTCTTTCAAGTTGCTCAAAAATAAAACACTAAATTTTTTTAACAATAAAATGCTTGAAACCCTTGAAATTTTTTGAAAAATTTTCAAAAGGCAAATACCAGGGATACCTGAGATTCTTACAAATTCTTCCAAGAGACCCCCGAGATTCTTTCAACTTTTTCAATTTTCTTCAAAAAATATAGACAAGCGGCCTTTGAGATTCTTTCAAAAAGACACCAGTTTTTCAATTTTTTCTAAAAAATCAAACATCAGGAGGCCCCGAGATTTTTAAAAATTTTAGCACTAAAAAAAAACAAACGGCGTCCAAGGGTTGTTCCAAAATTTTTTCTAAAGCTCCCAAGATTTTTTTAAAATTCTTTTAAATAATAAATCAATTCGAAACTGAAAATTCTTAAAAAAAAAACAAGAATCAAACACTAGTACTTGCTAAGAAAGACTGATTTTGGCAAATGATATAACCTTTGGGAAAATAGGGGGCGGGTGGGCGGGCCTAGTATTTGTTAAGGTAAGACTGATTTTGCCCCTACTGATCTTGAAAACCAGCTTTTTTTGTATTCTATTTCTGTTAATTTCAAGATTTTAAATCCCATTTCTGAGATCTACATAACGTTATATATTGTCAGACTAATACTCTTAGATAGAAATGGGATCATCTAGAATTAAATTCATTGTCTTGTTTCTGTATTCTCAGTTCTTGTTCTAAAATTCAAAATCTGATAGAACCTAGAATTTTCTTAGATTTCTTACCACCTTACCTCTACTTTCTATAACAGTACGTGCATAAGTCAAAATTCTTCCACTTCTTCCGCAAATTTCACCAACATTCTATATTTTTATAGATTCTCAGAAACTAGCTCTTTTCTTATTCTATTTCTTTTGATACCATGACTTTTGAATTCCGTTTCTATTTGTCAAGCCAATACTCTCAGAAATGGAATCGCCTAGAACTAGTTTCATCTCGCCCCGACTTTTGTTTTCTCAGAGGGTACGGCATTTGCCAAAATCAGTCTTATCTGAGCAAGTAGTAGCCCCGCCCACCCGCCCATATTTTCTCAGAGGATATGTGATTTGCCAAAATCAGTCTTATCTGAGCAAGTGGTAGCCCCGCTCACCCGCCCATATTTTCTCAGCGGATATGTGATTTGCCAAAATCAGCCTTATTTGACCAAGTGGTAGCCCCGCCCACCCGCCCATATTTTGTCAGAAGATATGTGATTTGCCAAAATCAGTCTTATCTGAGCAAGTACTAGCAAGTACTACCCTCTGAGAAAATAAAGGGGGGGTGGGCTGGACTAGAACTTGCTAACATAAGTCTTATTTTGGCAAATCATATATTCTTTGAAAAAATAGGGGGCGGGTGGGCGGGGCTAGTACTTGCTAAGATAAGGCTGATTTTGGCAAATGATATAACCTTTGGGAAAATAGGGGGCGGGTGGGCGGGCCTAGTATTTGTTAAGGTAAGACTGATTTTGCCCCTACTGATCTTGAAAACCAGCTTTTTTCGTATTCTATTTCTGTTAATTTCAAGATTTTAAATCCCGTTTCTGAGATCTACATAACGTTATATATTGTCAGACTAATACTCTTAGATAGAAATGGAATCATCTAGAATTAACTTCATTGTCTTGTTTTTATCTTCTCAGTTCTTGTTCTAAACATCAAAGTCTGATAGAACCTAGAATTTTCTTAGATTTCTTACCACCTTACCTCCGCTTTCAATAACAGTATGTGCATAAGTCAAAATTCTTCCACATCTTCCGCAAATTTCTCCAACATTCTATATTTTTATAGATTCTCAGAAACTAGCTCTTTTCTTATTCTATTTCTTTTGATACCATGACTTTTGAATTCCGTTTCTATTTGTCAAGCCAATATTTACAGAAATGGAATCATCTAGAACTAGTTTCATCTTGGCCTTTCCTTTGATTCCTCAGAGGGTATGGCATTTGCCAAAATTAGTCTTATATATCTTAGCGAACTAGCCCCGCCCACCCGCCCGCTAGTTTCCCAGAGGATATATGATTTGCCAAAATCAGTTTTATCTTATAAGTTCTTTCAAGGGACATCCGAGATTCTTTAAATTTTTTTTCAAAAAATATAGACCAGCCCCTCTTCAGATTCTTTCACATGGGAGATTCATGAGTCTTAATTTTTTTTTTATCAAACATCAGGAGGTTCTATTCTGTCAAATTCCTCAAAAAATAAAACACCAAGAGGCCTTCTCCGTTTAATAGGGCTACTAAGGGCTTCTTAAAAAAAAGTCCAAACTTCCTTTAAAATTCAATTAATAATAAAATGCTTGGAACCCCTGAAATTTCGTCAAAAATTTTCAAGTCAAACACCAGGGATTCCCGAGATTCTTACAAATTCTTCCAAGAGATCCCCGAGATTCTTTAAATTTTTTTCATAAAATATTGAAAAGCGGCTCTTGAGATTCTTTCAGAAACAACACAATGGAGACCCCAGAGTCTTCCAAAATTTTTCACAAAAATCAAACATCAGGACGCCCCGAGAGTTTTTTCAATTTTTTTTCTAAAACGAAACTACAACGGCTCCCAAGATTCCTTAACATTCTTTTAATAATAAACCACTTAGAACCCCGGAAATTTCTTTAAAAAAAATCAAAAACCAAACACTGGAGATTCCTGAAGATTCTTATAAATTCTTCCAAAAAACCCGGAGATTCTTCAAATTTTTTTCAAAAAATATAGAAAAGCGTCTCTTGAGAATCTTTCAAAAGCAACACACTGAAAACCCCAGAATCTTCAAAGTTTTTCTCAAAAATCAAACATCAGGAGGCCCCCAGATTTTTTCAAATTCTAGCACTAAAAAAAAAAAACAAACGTCGTCCAAAGATTGTTTCAACCTTTTTTCTAAAACAAAACTCCAATGGCTGTCAAGATCCTTTAAAATTCTTTTAATGATAAAATGCTTGGAACCCCTGAAATTTCTTCAAAAATTTTCAAAAGTCAAACACCGGCGATCCTTGAGATTCTTAAAAATTCTTCCAAGGACACAAAGATTCTTTAAATTTTTTTCAAAAAATATAGAAAAGCGGCTCTTGACATTCTTTCAAAAACAACACACTGGAGACCCCAGAGTCTTCAAAATTTTTCTCAAAAATCAAACATCAGGAGGCCCTGAGATTTTTTCAAATTCTAGTACTAAAAAAAACCAACGGGGTCCAAAGATTGTTTCAAGCTTATTTCTAAAACAAAACTACAACGGTTCCCAAGATTCCTTAACATTCTTTTAATAATAAACCACTTGGAACCCAAGAAATTTCTAGAAAAAATCAAAAGTCAAACACCGGGGATTTCCGACATTCTTACAAATTCTTTTAAGAGACCCTCGAGATTCTTTCAATTTTTTTCAAGATCCTTCAAAATTCTATTGGTAATGAAACACTTGAAACCCCTGAAATTTCTTCAAAAATTTTCAAAAGTCAAACACCAGGGATCCCTGAAATTCCTACAAATTCTTCCAAGAGACCCCCGAGATTCTTATTATTTTTTTTTTTTTTCAGAAAATATGGACAGGCGACTCTTGAGATTCTTTCAAAAACAACCCACTGGGGACTCCAGAGTCTTCAAAATTTTTCTCAAAAATCAAACATCAGAAGGCCCTGAGATTTTTTCAAATTCTAGCACTATAAAAAAAACCAACGGGGTCCAAAGATTGTTTCAAACTTATTTCTAAAACAAAACTACAACGGCTCCCAAGATTCCTTAACATTCTTTTAGTAATAAACCACTTGGAAGCCAAGAAATTTCTAGAAAAAATCAATAGTCAAACACCGGGGATTCCCCACATTCTTACAAATTATTCTAAGAGACCCCCGAGATTCTTTCAATTTTTTTCAAGATCCTTTAAAATTCTTTTGATAATGAAACACTTGAAATCCCTGAAATTTCTTCAAAAATTTTCAAAAGTCAAACACCAGGGATCCCTGAAACTATTACAAATTCTTCCAAGAGACTCCCGAGATTCTTATTATTATTTTTTTTTTTTTTTTTTAGAAAATATAGACAAGCGACTCTTGAGATTCTTTCAAAAGTAACACACTCGAGACCCCAGAATCTTCAAAATTTTTCTCAAAAATCAAACATCAGGAGGCCCTGAGATTTTTTCAAATTCTAGCACTAACAAAAACCAACGGGGTCCAAAAATTGTTTCAAACTTATTTCTAAAACAAAACTACTACGGCTCCCAAGATTCCTTAACATTCTTTTAGTAATAAACCACTTGGAACCCAAGAAATTTCTAGAAAAAAATCAAAAGTCAAACACCGAGGATTCCCGACATTCTTACAAATTATTCTAAGAGACCCCCGAGATTCTTTCAAAACCCCTGAAATTTCTTCAAAAATTTTCAAAAGTCAAACACCAGGGATCCCTGAAATTTTTACAAATTCTTCCAAGAGACCCCCGAGATTCTTATTATTTTTTTTTTTTCAGAAAATATAGACAGGCGACTCTTGAGACTCTTTCAAAAAGAACCCACTGGGGACCCCAGAGTCTTCAAAATTTTTCTCAAAAATCAAAAAAAAACAAACGCCGTCCAAAAATTGTTTCAAACTTTTTTCTAAAACAAAACTCCAACGGCTCTTAACATCCTTTAAAATTCTTTTAATAATAAAATGCTTGAGATTTCTTATATAATTTTCAAAAATCAAACACCTGGGGATCTGAGATTCTTACAAATTTTTCCAAAAAACCCCGGAGTCTTCAAATTTTTTTCAAAAAATACAGACCAGCGGCTCTTGAGAATCTTTTAAAAACAACACACTGGAGACCCCAGAATCCTCAAAATTCTTCTCAAAAATCAAACATCAGGCGGTCCCGAGATTTTTCCAAATTCTACCATTAAAAAAAACAAATGCCGTCCAAAAATTGTTTCAAACTTTTTTCTAAAACAAAACTCCA